GTGTCTTTTTTCATATTAGGATTTATCTCGCTTGTATTTTCTCATTTCTGGTAGCTTTGTGATTCTCTGTTAACTATTTTTTTTCTATGTTTTCTTTATGTGAAGTCCAAGATGAATTAATCTATAGAGGCAATAACTAGAAAAAGGGTTCCTGCGGGGTATGGCAGGGGAGGTAGGGTGAGGGGATATCCAGGAGTACAAGAAGGAGGAAAATGTTTTGAAATTAGTTGTTGTAGTGACAGTACAACACTGCTTGATGTGTTTGAAATATGGAATGGTGTGATGTCTGGATTAGGTCCTAATAAAATGGTTTGGAAGGGAACAAAAATACCTGGAAACAATAAAACACAAGTAAACAAATACACAAACATAAACAAACAAAAATGCAGAGAAAAGAATGAAGTTGGAAAATATGTCATTTTACTTGGATACATAATCAGCAATCATGTAAATCATCATCAAGAAATCAAGTGGCAAATTGCATTGTGCCCTTGTTCTGAACAAAGTCTCATTAAAAAGCAAAGATGTCACTTAGAGGACAAAGGTGTGCCTAACCTAAACCATAATATTTTCAATCACTAAATATGAATGACAGACCTGGCTAATTAAGGAAAACTAAAGACTAATGATGACTTACAATTATGTAGTTGGTAAAGAATATTAAGCATATCAATGGACTTTCAGAAAAATAATCAAATCTGTCTTGAAAGAGGTACTGTCAAAATGCTCATTACAAAAGCAGAAAGACTTCATATCATATATTTTGGACATGTTATCAGAAGGTTAGAGTCCCTGGAGAAGAATATCATTGTGGTAGTCTGGGTTGACTAGAGAAACAAATCCAGAGAGACACTCATATGTGTATAAGAAAGAGCTTTATATACAAGAGCAGTTGAATATTCAAAAAACATCTCAGCCCAGTCCAGATCAAGTCAATAAATCCAGTATAAGCCCATATGTGCAATACCAATCTATAAAGTCCTCTTCAGACTCACAAAACACATGCGATGACGCCGAATGCAGGGAGATCATAGGCCAGTGGGTGGGAAGTCTTGTGGATCCAGGAGCTTGGAAAGGATTTCAGCACTGGCAGAGCCTAGCATCTGGCTCCTCCAGCTCAGGGCACTAGTGTAGTTCCATGTGTCTTGTCAGCTGCAATGTCTCCCAGGGAGTGAGCCTGCATCCTACCTCCCGCGAGCTATTTATCTGCTTAGCACCTCCAAATTAGGTCATCAAGCTGTGACCTGATTCACAGGCTAAACTCCACTCCTTCACTTCAGTCCTTTCAAATTGAAAACAGATTATATAACTACCATAATCAAGCTTAGAAAAGTAGATTAGAAAACCTTCAAAACTCACTGCCATCGAATCAATGCTGACTCATAGCAACCCACTGAAACGAACTGTTTACAAGAGTAGAAGGCCCATTTGTTCTCTCAGAAAAGTAGAGGGTAAGTGAGGAGAACAGCAAACATTTTAGTGAGATACTGATAATGTGATTATAACAATGGATTGACACCTAGAAACAATTGTGAAGATGGGGCAAGATCAAGTGGTGATTATTTCTGTTGCACACAGGTCCTCTGAGTTGGTGCCTCAAAGGCACCTAACAAGAACAATGTATTTGTACAAGGTTCCACATCACTCTTCTTGTTTCTTGATGATATCTTTTGAAATATTTACATGTTATTGCTGTTTTTTTCTATAGTATTCTTTTTGGGTTTTTTTACAGGAGAGGGCAAGAATGCAGTTCCCCACTACCACAAATTATGCAGTCGAGTTTCCCACATTTGGGGAAACCGCAGGGGTCAGCACGTCCGGAGTGCAATGGATAAGACTCGCCCTGGGAAAACCACCTTTGTGATCATGGTATCTCCCCTGCCAGGTAAGTATTTCTATAGTATATTCTTTTCTCTACTCAAAAAATCTTTCTTCTCTGTGGACCTTAAAAAATTGCATATTTTTGGCTCATAACTCACTTCCATCATGTGGATTCTGACTCATAGCAATGCTAGAGGAGAGGGTAGAACTACCCCTGTGGGTTTCCTATTTGTAACTCCTTACAGGAATAGGAAGCCCAATCTTTATCCTGCTAAGGAGATGGTTGTTTTGAACTGTTAACTTTGTCGATTGCAGCCCAATGCTTAACCACTGTACCATTTTTGGCTCGTAGAAATTATTTATTCCTCTCCTTTGGCCTTCTTTAGTTGTATTTTTTGTGTTCAGTTCGTATTTGTTTGTATTATAAATTTAACTTCATAGTTGATTGATTATTAATCTCCCAATCCCGCTATTCATTCTCAAATTATGTGTTGTTGATGTCTCTTATGCTATTTTATAGTTTTCTCACAGTACCAAATAAATCCCTCCATTTCCTTTTGGAAAATGGTGCTAGATAAATTATGTTACATTGTCATCTATCTTGAGTTATAATCATGGTTCAATCGTGATAACAACATACCTTTTAAGTGGCCTAACAATTGGCAAATGACTTATCTTTTTTGTAAAATTTACTACCCAAATTATCCTCATAGTAAGCATTTTTCAATAAAAATTGTTCCTTATGACATATTTCATGTTAATGACATACAGAAACACATCAGTACTCTTATCAAACAAATTCACTTCTGTCTCTAAATGAGAAATACATGAAAATTTAGCACAATATTTATTAAATATATATTTGTTATAATGATTTGATTCAATACCAACTATCACCAATAATTTATAAATTTATGTATTACTTCATTCTTGAAGAGTATGATTATAGGCTACAAGTAGATCTACAAGCTTAAATTTTATAATATTATTTCTGATAATCTTTATGCATCAACTTCATTTCTCTACTGATCTGAAAATCACATTTAGTTTCTTACTCATATGAATTTGAATAACTACAAATAAAACCCTTAGATTAAAGCAATTATAATGATAATACGCATAACGCAGACCATGTTCAATTAACACAATACAAATAATTTAAAATTAATCAGATTTCCAATTCATATTCTCTTGATGTGTGTTTACTCTTAATGTGTTTATAATGATATTTTGATGCAAATCATCACTATGCTTTGTCTAGTCCTACCTCATTAGAGTTCCCTCACTATTCTTGTCTTCGTTAATTTATACAACGGCAAAATTAAATCATCAAAATTGACTTCTTTCTTTTCATTTTCCTTTTCTCTGTCCATGTCCTTTGTTTAACCTCTTCTTTATTTAATTCTGCTCCAAATCTTACATTGATTTTTGTGGTCTCCTTCACAGATTCCTTTTGCAGCTGTTAAATGACCCTACATATCTCTCTCAAATAACATCAGGGGAGCAGCACTTTCCTGTCTTGTGTATTCAAGCCTCTACAAGTCAATAATGGGATGACTTCACTCTTGAAGAGAATGATTATAGAACATATCTCTTGGGTACTCAGTAGATCGACCAGCTTAGATTTTCTAATGTAATTTCTGATCATCTTTGTTTAATTAATTTCATGTGTAAGTTTCATTTCTCTACTTATCTGAAAATCACATTTAGTTTCTTACTCGTAGGATTTTGGATAACTACCAATAAAACTCTTTATAACAGGCTTTATTTGATGGCAGTCCTTTCCCATTCTTCATATGAATAGCATTACATAAGACCAAACTCACTGCCATCAAGTCGACCTTGCGATCCGCAAGGTCTACAGTTTGAAACCACCATCTGCTCCACCTGAGAAAGACAGGGTGTTCTACTCCCATGAAAAGTTACAGCCTCAAGAACCCAACTGGGGCAGTTCTGCCCTACCTTATAGGGAGGGTTGCTACAAGTTGGCATCGAATCAGTGGCGGTGAATATCTATTGAATATCTGTCTGAAGAACTCCAGCTCAACCTTTTGAAGAGGACAGATCTAGTTGAAATGATTTCTGCGGTCGCTAGCATAGAGTGTAGATTATGGTCAGCAATTTTATGTTAATTGTCTTATAAACTAGCAACCAGGCATTAGGTGATTGCCTACGTAGTGGACAGGGAAATATTCCACCTACAAAGTTAGGCAAAGGAGGATCTTTACAAGCTTCTGGAAGTTATGTAAAAACAAAACAAAACAAAACAGGGTCAACCATATGAGAACAAAGGGGTAACATATATGCAACACTGACGTTCAGAGGGATAGGAAAGAAGGAGACAGAGTAACTAGAAATACAAGGAGAAATTTGTATGGTGTTGCAATAGATGAGTTGAAACAAACTTTTCACAAATTGTTTAATATAAAACTGATGATAAACTCTGTCAACCTTCACGTAATTCACAACAAAACAGTTTTAAATAAATATTTAAGTGAAGAAGCAAAAGGGAAAAAATGCTGTAGAAACCTCACTTTCCAAATGACATCTCCTTGATATGGGGGATCACGTCCAATTATTGTTCTTGGAGGTGCCTTTAAAGTCTAGTTATTTTAGTTCACTCTGATACATTTTAACAGACAATTTAACTGAAGTTTTGTCAGAACTGCATGACATTTCAACTTCTCTGTTTGCGCTTTTCAACTTCTTCTTGCTTTCTTCCACAAGTGTTGATAGATAATAAGTACCCTATAGGGAAAAGTTCTCAGAATTTTATTCTGGATTTCTTATTGCTTAAGCTGCAAATAAGAACCTCATTACTAGTGGAATATGAAACACACATATACCCTAGCAGCAAGTACAGCTATTAAAAATTTCATCATAAAATAATTTAGAAAATTTACTGGTGGAAGGAAATGAAATAATTGGAGTTATTTATCAGGTATTTGCAAAGGGAAAAATGAACCTTGGTGGCCTCTTCAGTAAGTACTGTTCATTGCACTGCAAAAGGCTTACACTCAACAGTCACTCTTCCGGAGAAAATTGAGGCGATCTGCTCTTGTAAATATTTACAGCCTAGGAAACCCAATATAGGAGTGATATAAGTCAGAGTGCATTTGATAGCAGAGGGTTTGGGGTCTGTAAAGGGATAAATAGAGACCATGAAATCATGTTAATTAGTGACTGATCCTGGTATTGATTTCCTTGTTAGTTGTACAATGCACCCATAGAGAGTCACTCACATCAAAACACGAGGTTCCTGCCGACAGGGTCTCTATAGTGATCAGATTTTCTGTGCGATGATTCCATCCATATATGAAGAAAAAATAAGGAAAAATGAAAAAAAAAGAAATCATGGTAATTAATGGATACTGCTAAGCCAAATTTTTAAAAATTTAAAAGATAATACAACTCTGTGAACAATAGACAGATATTTTAATTCCTAACATGAAAGCCCGGAAACCTCTTGAAGTTGATAAAGGGGGTCTCATTCCTGTGTTAGTGGACTGATAAAGCTGAGTCCTAGGCCTAGAAATGAGTAGTCAATGATTGAGCTCCACAGAAGGTTAATAGACCAAAAAATCAGGTGGCTTATACTGCAAGGTTAGAGGCTTTGTGGGGAGCAGTACTTGAAGTTTCTGCTTAGAATGGAGGCATGTTGTAAACTTGCATATGTTTCCAAAGCAGCAAAGTAGCGTGCTATTTTTATTGTTTTTAGGTGCCATCCATTGAGTTCTACATGGGAGTATATATAACAGAACAAAACACTGCCTGATCCGGTGCCATCATCACAACTGCATTTATGTGGGAGACCATTGTTGCAGCCACTGAATGAATCCATCTTGTAGATGGTCTGTCTCTTTCTCCATATCTCTCTACTTTACTAGCATGATGTCTTGGTCTCTCCTGACAATATGTTCAAAGCACATGAGATAAAGTCACAACATACTTGCCTCTAAAGAGCATTTTGGCTGTACTTCCAAGAAAGATTTGCTTGTTCTTTTGGAAGCCCATGATACTTTCAATATTCTTCTCCTGCACCGTAATTCAAAGGCATCAAATCTTCTTCAGTCCTCCTTATTTAATGTCCAACTTTCACATACATATGAAGCCATTTGAATTATCATGGCTTGGACTAGGTGTATCTGAGTACTCAAAGTAACGTCCTTGCTTTTCAACACTCTATAAGGGTCTTGTGCAGCAGTTTTACCTTAATCAACACATCTTTTGATCTGACTGCTGCTTCCATGAGCATTGATTTTTGGATCCAAATAAGACAAAGTCCTTGACAACTTAAACTTTTCTGCATTTATCATGATGTCATCTGCTGGTAGAGTTTTGAGGACTCTGGTTTTCTTCGCACTGAGTTGTAATCCATATTGAATGCTGAAATCCTTGATATTCATCAGCAAGTACTTCAAGTCCTCACTTCCAGCAATAAGGTCATGACACCAGCATATCTCCAGGTGTTAATATTAACTTTTCTCCAATCTTGATGTTGCATTCTTCTTCATATAATTCAGTTTCTCACATGGTTTGCCCAGCATACAGAGCCAATAAATATGGTAAGAGGATACAACCCTAACACATACCTTTCCTGATTTTAAACCATGCAGTATTCCATTGTTCCCTTTGCTCAAGTGCCTCTTGATTCATGTACAGGTTCTATATGATCACAATCAGGTGTTCTGGAATTCCCATTTTATTCAAGCCCATCCAGTTTACTTCTCCCTTTTAAGAGCTAGTATATTTCCCTTGCTGGAAGACACTTTAGGAGCCCATAAAAAACCATGGGCCCTCCCTTTAGGCTCTTCCTTATGTCTCCTCCTGGCCCCTAGGCAAACTATCAGTTGACTCATAGCAAAATTCATTATCCAGATGAGTATGTGCTGAATTTTAAAAGGAAAGAAGGTGAGTATACCCATAAATGCTTAAGAACCCTGACAACCCAAGCTGTGTGTCTGAATTTCCTAGTGCTGCATGAACACAAGTGGGAAAATTAAAATATCAGAATTTTTAAATCAAAGTTTTGAAAGATAGAACTCAAAACTTTGACATCAGCTGCATCGTTGCTTTTTGGTAGCCCTGGAACTTTCTTGGAGTTTCTTAGAATTTCAGGGCGTGTTTTTCCTCCTCTGCCTCATGCACTATTCTGTGCATATTCTGCAATTCTTCTAACTCAGAAGTGATTAGATTTACAATTCCCCATACTCTGCTGCAGTGTCACTAACACAACAGAAACCTATTTCTGAACAAGGTCATATCACCAGTTACAGAGGTCGGGATTTCAACATATTTATTTTTAAAGATACCTAAATTAATAAATAAAAGGAGTGAATATCAGATGTAATAAGCAATTCATTAACAGAAGAAGTACATATCTAATGTAATCAGTTTGATTCTGGTGAGGTCCACATATATATTCATTTATGTAACAAAACGTATTTAAAATAGAGAAGTCATTGGTCTTTCAAAATTCTATCAAGTTATCCTCAGCTTCCTTTCTATTACTATGGCCATATTTTCTAACTACTGTTTTTTCTTATTTGTTTCCAATTTTTACATTGAAATAACCAATAGCTACAAATGCATATTAATTGCCTGTTTGATCAATTTCAGACTAAAGAACTTGATGGTACTCTTCAATTTCTTTATCATGTATATTAGTATTTTATTAAAATGCTTTTAACGGGGGCTCTTACATCTTTTATCACAATACATACCTTCCTCCAACGTGTCAAGCACATTTACACATATGCTGCCATCATCATTTTCAAAGCATTTTCTTCCCACTTGTGCCCCTGATATCAGCTGCCAATTTCTTCCCTCTTCCTCCCTCTCCCGCCTTCCTTCATGAACCTTTGATAAGTTATAGATTACTTTTCCATATCTCACATCATCCTCCATCACCCCTCACCCACTCTTCTTTTGTTCATCCCCCTGGGAGGGAGTTCTAGGTTGGTCCTTGTGATTGATTCCCCCTTTCTCCCCCCCACCCCTCCCCCAATCCTCCTGGTATCTCTACTCTCCTTGTTAGCCTTGAGGGGTTTATCTATCCTGGATTATCTGTGTTGCGGGCTCTTATCTGTAGCAGTGTGCATGCTCTGGTCTAATCTGCTTTGTAAGTTAGAATTGAGGTCATGACAGTGGGGTTAAGGATGCGCCAAAGAGCTAGTGGAAAGTTGTGAGTTTCATCAGTGCTATATTGCACCATGACTGGCTCATCTCTTCCCTGTGACCTTTCTGTGAGGGGACGTCCAATTGCCTACAGATGGGCATTGGGCCTCCACTCAATGCTCCCCCTCATTCACATTGGGTATGGTTTTATTCTAGGTCTTAGATGCCTGATGCCGGATCCCGTCAACACCTCATGATTACACAGGCTGGTGTGCATTTTCCCTGAGGGTTTTGTTGCTTCTGAGCTAGATGGCCACTTGTTTATCTGCAAGCCTTTAAGACTCCAGACACTATTTCTATTGATAGCCGGGCACCATCAGCTTTCTTCACTACATTTGCTTATGCACCCATTTTGTCTTCAGCGATAGCGTTGGGAAGGTGAGCATCACAGAATGCCAGATTGTTAGAACAAGGTGTTCTTGTGTTAAGGGAGTACTTGAGTTGAGGCTCAATGTCTATCTGCAACCATAATTCTTAACATATAGATATGAGTACATAGTTCTATTCCCCTCTCATTATATATCTATTTACATATGTACATGCCTGTATTTAGGCCTCTATAAATGTCCTTTGCCTCCTGGTTCTTTCCTCTTTTTCCTGTTCACTTCCCTCTTGTCCTACCATCATGTTTGGCCTTCATTTGGGTTTAGTAATTCCTTGCTGCTACATTGCCCTTGGTTGAGCCCCACTAGGCATCTTGCAACTTTCCTTCCATTGCTTTTAGTTCACTTGTTGTTCCTTTGTCCCTGGGTTCATCCCCCCCCATTTCCTTTGTCTCACCTCTCCTTCTCCTATACCCCACCCCCCCATCCCCCAGAAACATTGGTCCTGTTCTTTTCATCTCCAAATTATTTATCCCGCCTATCTAGATAAGGGTCTAAGGTGACCAGACGTCCTGCTTTGGGTGGGACAGTCCCGATTTTTAACAAATTTTCCTGCGTCCTGTGGCGTTTTACAAAAGTCCTGATTTTTTGGAAAGAATGCACGACAAGCTAGGGTATACGGTTTTCGGCTTCCATGTGGCTATTTCACGAGGATATGAGTTTTATCAATGGCGTCCCACTTTACCAATGTTAAAAACTGGTCACCTTAATAATAGACATGCAGATACATCAATAAGTGCAAAAAAAAACCAGGCAAAGCCAAATAAAACAAAAAAGGAAGTCAAAACCAACAAAACAATAACAACAGCAAAAACAAAAACAAAAGAACAATTACCAAAAGAAAGCCACTGACAAAAATGGAAAAACATATAAATAGTTCAAGGTCGGTTTATTGGCCTTTACGAGTTTTTCCAGTCAAATCTGATGGGGCGCCTTACTCTGTCTCCCAAGTCTATTTTTGGTATCCCCTAGGGCTTTCATCAGTTTGCTCCCCCTGCTGCTCTGCTGAATGCCCTCCGTGCCTCGCCCCAGCTTGATGGGACCAGAATGTGCACTATTCCAGAACTGTGTCTCCTGTGCTGCCCCCCGCGGAACCATGGTTCAGTGAGGGACACTGTGTCCCATGGTGGGCCTAGCCCTATGGTCCTCCCCGTGCGCTGTCAGCTCTGAGCAGGAACATCATCCTCTAGGCTTGGTAGGTCATGTTGTCCTCTCCTCCCTTTCCATCCCTTTGCCTTTCTCCCTTGTGCTGCAATCCGACGCAACCCTCTTCCCAAGCTGTAGCCCCAGTGCTGTCTTCTGATGAAGGTTGGCGGTGTCAACATAGTCCGGATTAGGGCCAGCCCTGCGGACCTCTCTATTAGTTTCCTGGTACATGTGGGCATGCTGTAATCATGTCTTGGTGCATAGAGTTGAAACCTGGTGTGTCTCTCCTTCTCCTGTGGTGATATAAGCAATACCCTCCCCTTGGGTGGATTAGTGCCCTGCTCTCTGACTCATGTTTTTTTTTTTTTCTTTTCTTTTTCCTCTTTCTTTCCCCCTCTTATTTAGTTGGCTGCCGTATGTATCCTTGGATTGGATTTGCCCCCTGCCATAGTTGCTGGACCTCACTGAGGAATGTATGCACGCAGTAGCATTTCCCCTATGCCCAATGTTTTTTTCTTTTTTTAGCTCACCTCAGTGGACTCGTTTTAATTGTCATTTTGTGCTTGACTTACTTCACTTAGCATAATTTCCTCCAGTTTTCCCATGCT